GGGGTCTGGCCCCCGCATTAGTTTGGGTTGGGGGCACTGCCAGGGCCTCTGGATCTGGTCTGTCCTGCTTCCCTCAGGGGACGGGAGGGGTGGGACAATAGGAACTGCACCTTTTTGGGGAAAGCGGGAGAAAGAGACGGTTTTCTCCTAAACGAAGTCAGTGAATACTTGCTGAGCCTTCTCTAGCGAGTGGCAGAGTGATTAGGACACACGATTTTTTATTACACGTGGTCTCTCTACTTTCAGAAAGCAACAGTGTAAGAGACAGCATCAACGAGAAACACTTTAGATCCGTGCTGTCCAATACGATGGCCGTTAGCTGCCTGTGGTCAAATCAAAATAAAATAGAATTAAAGAATTTAGTTCCTTAGACACACAAGCGACGTTTCAAGAGCTTGTTTGTCACAGGTGGCCAGTGGCTACTGTATTGAACATTACCAACTTCATAGAACATTCTGTTGGCACCTTTATCTTTTGCAAAAACATTTCTCTCCCAGATCTTTGCAAAAGACTGGTCTGGAAGTGCTAGGCCGGACAGACAGATTGATTTTTGTCACAAATCCTGATGACTCTAAGCTCCTATGGTCCACAGAGCCTGGTCTATAAAATGAGACTCATCATTTCTAGGATGTGCGGGAGTGTGGAGGTTAAGGGAGGTTAAGGATGCTGTCCCGCACTTTATAAATGGCAGCAGGTCTGACTGCACTACAGGCGAAAAGTGAGGTTCAAAGAGGGGAAGTGACACGGCCCAGGAGACTGCACTAACAGACGGAGGCCCGGTTAATGGAGGCCCAGTATGCCAACCGCCATCTTTAACCCTGCCTCTCCTGTTCCTCCCAGCCCTGACCTGGGCGGGAGAGAAGCTGGTACAGAGTGGGCAGAGCAGGAGGATAGGCCTGGGACAGAAGGGCTGATGGGTGCCAAGTCCAGGGTTTGTCAGCTGGGTGCAGGGACCCTGCTGGCCCATCTGATTGAAAATCTCTCTCAGGCTTGGAGTTTAGCTCTTCCCCACATCTCTCCAAGCTAGAAATTCAGGAGAAAAGTGCTTGGTTTGGGCCCAGCACAGATCCCTGGAGGCTCGTTTTAGAATGAACCCGTTCTTGGGACCTTCCAGGAAACCCTGGCTTCTCCAAGAAGCTCACCCTGATTTTCTGACAATTCCTTTCTTCCTCTCACTTTTGTTCAAATCCCCAGTGTCCCCTGGATCTCTCCATAGCAGGAATTGCAGCTTGCTTCCCACAGGCCAAGGGGTCTTCACCTTCTTTGTGCCAGGAACCTTTCCCTTGGAGGTTAACGGAAGTAAAGGTGTGACCTTATTCTCCAACCCCAATGGAAAGACCTCCTGGGTCCCATCCATAGGCCCACAGAGGCCATTTCTAGCATCTCTCAGTCTCCCCTCCTCCAGGCTTACCCATATCTAGTCTTGTGGCCCCTGGAACCTCAGGGCTTGGAATGCAATAGGTGCCTGCTTTGTGCCTTTTGGAGTGAAAATGGGTCTTTGATGCCCCTTCCAAGTGCAGACTTGCCCCAGCTGGGGGGGGGGGGGGGGGGGGGGGGGGGGGAGAGTCTGTGGAGGGGACAGTGAGCGACCAGATGCTTCCTGGAGGAGGAAGCACAGGTGCCCGAGTGCCTCACGGGGCTCCTGCTTCCCACAGCTGCATGGAGCTGGGCCTCTCCCTGCAGAGAGGAAGGTGGGTCCCAGGCCGCGGGGCTCAGAGGGGAGTTTCAGCTCCTCTCACTCTGGGCACCCCGCTCCTGCGCAGCCCGTTGAAGGCAGCATGCGGCTTTGGGCCTGGCTGTTGGCTGCCGGCAGCATGTTCTTCCCTTCTTTGGCCCCACCTGGGCATGGCCGTGTGTGCCCCCTGCCCCGGCCTGTTTAGCCAAAGCTGTCCTGCTTGACAAACAGGCCGTTTGCTTCCTGCGCTGGAGCCGGGGGAGCTGGCCGCCTGAGAAGGCTATAATTAGCGGAGAAGAGTGGATGTGATCGCACACTGGCATCGACAGTTAACTTTATAGTCCAATGGAAACATAAACTGATGTCATCGGAGATGTAAATACCATTTGGAAATCTTGACGTTTCTGGGAACCGAGGAGCCCAGATGAGCCTGTGCTGTGAGGGGAGCCGCCTCGGGGTTGCCTGCCAGGCCTCTGGGAGAGCTGGGGCGGCAGCACCCTGGGGTGGACCCGGAGGACCGGGCCGTGGGTACCCCGCGGTGGGGGAGTCCGGAGGCTCGGGCTGGCGTTTGCCGTGACAGCTTTCCCCATGGCTTTAGCGGCCTGGAGATGCTGCAAGGCTGACGGGCCAGGAACATGTGATGCTTTGCAACGGGAGGGCGGTGGGAGGAAGTTCGGTTTCCTGCGGCATCTGTTCTGGAGTGGGCCCTGGGAGTTGGAGGAGCTCGTCAGAACAGAAGCCGGGGACTGCCTCTGTGGAGCGGGCTGGGTCAGTGCTGCTCAGAACGGGGGCGGGGGCGGCTCTGGTGTGGTGGAGGTGGCTTCCGAAGCAGGACACCTCACCTCGGAAGCACAGCCTCAGCGGGGAGTGGGGCCCGGGGCCGGCGAGGCCGTGGCCATCCTGCCGAGAAGAACTGCTTGCTTTGTTGGCAACAGGAAACGTGGGACTCGCAAAAGTGTATGGGTCAACTGTGACAATACTAAGGTGTTCTCCTGCTGGTTCAGTGGCAGCATGAGGATTACACTTTTCATCAAGATGAACAATGAGCCCTAACTGGTGTGGCTCAGTGGATAGAGCATCAGCCTGCAGACTGAGAGTCCCGGGTTTGATTCCAGGCAAGGGTACATGCCCGGGGTTGTGGGCTCGATCCTCAGTAGGAGGTGTGCAGGAGACAGCCAATCAATGATCCTCTCTCATCATTGATGTTTCTCTTTCTCTCTCCATCTCCCTTCCTCTCTGAAATCAAATATTATATATATCTACATAAAACAGATGGACAATGAGCCCCCACTCTGTAGCCCTCAAGTTCACCTCGTCCTCACAGTCCCTCTCTGCCTGGGCTCTGAGGGGGTTCTTCCTTAGCCACAGCCTCAGCCTTGGGGTGGAGGGGTGGCTGCCTCTGGGTCTGGCTCAGGGTCAGGGCTGAGTGAGTGATTCTTGACAAGTGCAGTGATCGGAAGGAAGCGGGGACCTGGCTTTCCAGAGCTGCCTGCACTTGTTCCCAAAGGCCCCACAGGCCTTAGGCTGATCTTGAACAACGATTTCACCATGTTCTGTGTTTTGGAGCGTGAAGTGACAGGCAGTCTTTGTTTGACCTTTCTCTTTCATTTCCTGGGATCGCCATTTTCCTGGGCAGGGCTGTGGGTGCGTTTGTGGCCTGCCTCATAAATCTGAACGTTTCCCCAAGTGGTGAATTTGATGACATCATTTTATAGTTTTCCACTCTGGCCGCATGTGAATCATGGCTCACCGCAGTTTGTCGATGCCGTCAGCACCCTCTGGCCCGTGTGTATTGGAAAGACATTCCTGCTTGACTTGGGGAGAGTGGATCTCTGTGACCCAGTTATCTTTCCAACCAAAGTGGGGGGCCTTAGCTGTGAAATACAGCAGACTGCGGGACCGAGGGTGAGGACCATGGCTCCCTGGTCATCTGTTATCTGGTGTTTCTAAGAATGGTTGGTCTGTGTGACATTTGGCATCCTTGCCCGTACCCAGGACAGTCTTTAGAAAGAAGTCAAAGGGCTGGGACCGGTTTGGCTCAGTGGATAGAGGGTCGGCCTGCTGAACGAAAAGTCCCGGGTTCGATTCCAGGCAAGGGCATGTACCTTGGTTGCGGGCACATCCCCGGTGGAGGGTGTGCAAGAGGCAGCTGATCGATGATTCTCTCTCATCGATGTTTCTAACTCTCTATCCCTCTCTCTTCCTCTCTGTAAAAAATCAATAAAATATATTTAAAAAAAAAAAAAAGAAAGAAAAAAGTAACAAGTCAAAGAGATCTATTTGGAGGGCACGCTGTAGCCAGTGGAAGGCTGGGTAGACCAGTCACTGCAGGGACAGCCTCCTCAGTGTCCGGATGTTGGCTTACCTGTGCTCAGGGCACATCTTGCCGACATCCGAGTTATCCCTCACTTCCTTTACTCGCGCCTCCGCCGGCAGCACCATGTCTTTTGGTTGTGGTCCCACATCGCCTCCCGCTCAGTGGAGGAGTCCAGGGTCCCTAATGAGTTGCCCCTGCCCTCGGGAGCGTGTGGCCTGGACAGTCAGAACCCGTGGACGGGCAAGCGACTTTGTAGGAAGCATTGACCTCAAACCCGAGGGGATCTGTTGGGAAGCCCAGCTGGCACCCATTCAGCACTCGTTGGTTGTGAGCGCTGATTGCACTTCCTGAATGTCAGGGCTGTCGGCGATGCCCGAAATAGTCGGAAAAACCCCCTCCCGGCACGGAGCTTTTATTCTTGTGGGGAAAACGAACAATTAACAAAATCAAAGGGAAAAAAGTCATATGCTGGCAAGTGCAAAGGGGAAAAAGGAAATGGGGAAATGGGATTAGGCATTTCAGGAGGTGGGATTCTTTTATAAATAATATGACCCTCCTCCCCCCTCTTCCTCAAAAGGCCTGACTATGCACAGGTGACAACGGAGCAAGGGTAGGAAGGAGAGTTGAGGGCGTGAGCCATGTGGGTTTCAGGAGGGAGTGGGGTCCCGGCAATAGGACGGCCTGTGCAAGGCCCAGGTTCGCTGACCTCTGCCGGGCATCCCCCCTGACTCACCACGACCTTCCCCTAGGTTTCCAAATAGGGTCTGTATTAGTTTGCTGGGGCTGCTCCAACCAAGTACCACAGACTGGGGGGCTTACGCAACAGAAACGTATTGTCACAGTTCTGGAGGCTGGAAGTCAAAGATTAAGGTGTTGGCAGGGTCCGTTTTTCTGCGCCTCCTTCCCTCCCCCCCACTGGCAGTACCACAGCCCTCAATAAGCTCTTGAGAGGAAAATCAAGTGCCTTCCAGTCCTCCTCACCTCTCCCTCCCGGCCTTCTCGCTGCAGCTGATCGGGACCCTGGTTCTGTCGGTGGGGATCTACGCGGAGGTCGAGCGGCAGAAATATAAAACCCTCGAAAGTGCCTTCCTGGCCCCGGCCATTATCCTCATCCTCCTGGGCATCATCATGTTCATTGTCTCCTTCCTCGGCGTGCTGGCCTCCCTGCGAGACAACCTGTGCCTTCTGCAAGCGGTGAGCGGGCCCCGCGCCCCTCAGCTGGCGGGCGGCGGGTCCTTGGAGCCCCCGTGGGAGGCGGGGAGACTGTCCCAGGCCTTCGGGCAGCGCTGCTGGAGGGTTTCCCTGACCAGCCTCGCTGCCCACGGTGGCCGCCTCCACTTCTGCATTTGGATACCAGCCGTCTCACTTACTTAAACCCTCTGTGGGCCCAGACTCCCATTGGAAAGGGAAGAAACCACACTCAAATGAGAGCAAGTAAAACAAACACCAGCTGGTAGTGAGTTCTTAGCTCACATAGCTAGCAAACCCTCCCAGGTCCAGGGGTGCAGGCTGTGCCCGGGATTCTCCCCTGCCAGCACCCAGCTGGACACCTGGCATTGCCCTTCTTTTTTCTTGTGGTGTCGCCAACAGAGTCCTGGTGGCTCTTGCCCCAGGGAACTTTCTTGGTAGCTCTGGCCCCAACCCCAGGACTCAGAAGGGCCTGCCCTGGGGCCAGGGGGTGAGGTCAGCCCTTCTGTCCCCCTGACTGTGTGGTGAAGGATGGGTTTCCAGAGCTGGGGGTACCAGAGAGGCAGATGCGTTTGCTCTGTGTCCACACTGTCTTCCTCACACGGGAAGCCCCGGAAAGCCCCGTAAGCAGGGCCTGGGTGCTGCCTGAGGCTGGGAGCTGCCGGCCTCGGTCCGGACAATGCGGGCACTGTGATGCAGCGCGGGGGTGGGGTGCATGCTCTCTGTCTCAGGCACCCCCTCCCCACTCTGGGAGTCTGGGAAGCCACTTGCGAGGGGCTCTGCCTGCACAGCTGGAGATGCTGCCCTGCCCGTTAGGCCAGGCCTGTCCCCTCTGGAGCAGCCGAGCGAGGACCAGCTCTCCTTTTGAGGTTGAGGGATGGGGTTGGGGTATGTTTTTTTGTCTCAGTCCCACCGAGGAGCCCTGGGACAAACCCTTTTCCTGACCACGGGCTCCAGAGACGGGCTTTCCCTCGGAACGCCCACATCCTGTGTCCTCACAGGAGGAAGGGCGAGCGGCCCGGGAGGCTCTGACTCCTGATTGACAGCGCCGCCTCTGCCACCGAGGGTGACTCTCTGAATTTTGTTTTGCAGTTTATGTACACCCTCGGGATCTGCCTCATCATCGAGCTCATTGGCGGCGTGGTGGCCTTGATCTTCCGGAACCAGGTGGGCCCGGGGCGCGTGTATCAGCCACGTGCACGCCGAGCCCGGCTGCCTGTGCCCCGGGCTGTAACACGGGGTGTGCGCAGAGGAGAGAGCGGGGCGTGCGATTCCTCGTTCGTTTTGCTGGGGAGACGGGCACGGAAAGGGAAACCGGAGAGCAAGAAACCAACCCAGGGCGATGGGAAAGGGCCGGGGTGCAGAGTGGGAGGACAGTGATGAAATAATGGAAGGCTCAGGGGGAGCAGATACCCAGGCCGAGGGAGCCCCTGAGGCCGAACGGAGCTTATCCAGCATGTGGACCCGCGTGGATGCACTTGGCTGAAGGGTGTGAGCGATGGGGAGGGAGGGATGGAAGGCGGAGCTGCAGTGGCGGCTAGTGCAGGTCACGTGGGTTCTCAGGGGCCGAGGTTTAGGAGGTGGGGATTATTTCTAAGGCAGGAAGCCTTTGCAGAGTTGTGTGTGTGTGTGTGTGTAGGGTGATGTGATCTGGTTTACATGTCATCACTGTGGGGAGACCAGGGGCCTGGAGAACATTTGGAAGAACTGTCTATAGAGCTTGGTTGTGCTGGGATATAAGAGTGAGGGTGAGCTGAAACCGATTTGGCTCAGTGGATAGAGCGTCGGCCTGAGGACTGAAAAGTCCCAGGTTCGATTCCGGTCAAGGGCATGTACCTTGGTTTTGGGCACATCCCCAGTAGGGGGTGTGTAAGAGGCAGCTGACCAATGATTCTCTGTCATTGATGTTTCTAATTCTCTATCCCTCTCTCTTCCTCTCTGTAAAAAAAAATAAATTAAAAAAAAAAAGAGTAAGGGTGAAAAAGGCTGGAAGGACCATGTGGCATCAAACCTGCTGGGATGGTTTGCAGAATCAGGAGCCCTTTGAGCTGGAAGGGTTCTCAGGACCCTTGGTCTCCCACTCTTCCCATCACAGATGCCATGTAGCCTCATATGAGCTGTGTGACCTTGGGCAAGGCCTCCACTGACTTTGGGCAAGCCCCTGGGCTTCTTACGGGTCATGGTTCCTAGCTCACGGAGTCTGGGCTAAGGGTGTGATGAGAGAATGCGAGGGAAGAACTCAGCCCCTAGTGCACCCTCCTCGCATAGGAGCTCCTTTGCCCTGAAGCCCGAGGAAGATAAGGGACTTGCCCAAGGTCCCACAGGAAGCCGGGGGCTGGCCGCCAGCTCGGAGATCGGAGATCCGTCATTTCTCCCGGTTCCTTTGTCTTCCTCCGGGCCTGGCGTCGGAGGCGGGGCTTGAGGAGTAGGGCCTGTTTTCGGAAACTCAGCCTTCTCTGTCCACTGCCCTGCCCCCACCCTCACCACCCAGACTGTTTTGTACCTGGCACTCCTGGGCATCACTGTTGGACGGGGGCATCAGGGATGCAGCCACATTGTCCGTCTTGTCAGAAGTTGAGCCCCAGGCAGCAGTCACCGTCCCAGACACAGAGTTCCCAGACGCCACGTTGGGGCAGATCCCTCAAATGACCCAGTCTGACTCCTGCCAAGGCCTTCTCTGGCTCAGGTGCGAGCAGGAAGCAACCTGTTTCCATCACAGATGCCATGTAGCCTCCTACGAGCTGTGTGACCTTGGGCAAGTACTCCACCTCCCGGAGCCCCTGGGCTCCTCAGGGGTCATGGTTCCCAGCTCGGGGAGTCTGGGCGAAGGGTTTGCTAATATTGTGTTGGTGGTGTTTGCAACTCTGTTCATCAGGGATGTGAGCTGGTACTTTTTTTTCCCCTTGGGGTGTCCTTGTTGACTTTGGTGTCAGTGCAATGCCGGCCTCGAAAATGAGCTTCGAAGTGTCCCGTGGTCTTCGGTACGCGGGAATAAATTGGGAAGGATTGGTATTCATTCTTCTTTAAACACTTGGTAGAGTTTACCAGTGAAGCCATCTTGTTCTGGACTTTTCTTTATTGGGAGCCTTTAATTACTGATTCAAGTTATTTACTCGCTATTGGTCTGTTCGGATTTCCTGTTTCTTCAGGATTCAGTCTTGGTTGGCTGTATGTTTCTAGGAATTTATTTCTTCTAAGTTATCTAGTTTATGGGTGTGTAAGTGTTTATAGCAGTCTCTTATGATCTTTTGTATTTCTGTGACATCAGTTGTAACCTCTCCTCTTTATTTTTGTAACATCTCTTTCATTTCTGATTTTATTTAAATATTCTCTTTTTTTTCATAGTCTAGCTTTGTCAATTTTGTTTATGTTTTTCAAAAATCCAGATCTTAGCTTTATTGATCTTTTTAAATTGTTTTTTTTTTTAGTCTCTATTTCATTTGTTTTCACTCTGATCTTTGTTATTTTCTTCATTCTAACTTCAGGCTTAGTGTGTTTTTCTAGTTCTTTGAGGTATAAAGTTAGGCTGTTTATTTGAGATCTTTCCCCTCCTTAATATAGAAAGAACCACTATAAACTTCCCTCTTAGAACTACTTAAATGCTGGTATGTTGTGTTTCCATTTTAATTTGTCTTGTGATATTTTTTAAATTTCCCTTTTTTAAAATTTTTTTATTTTATTTATTTGTTTTTTAAAATATATTTTATTGATTTTTTACAGAGAGGAAGAGAGAGGGATAGAGAGTTAGAAACATCGATGAGAGAGAGTCATCGATCAGCTGCCTCTTGCACACACCCTACTGGGGATATGCCCGCAACCAAGGTACATGCCCTTGACCGGAATCAAAACCAGGACCCTTCAGTCCCCAAGCCGATGCTCTATCCACTGAGCCAAACTGGTCTCGGCTAAATTTCCCTTTTGATTTCTTATTTGCCTCATTGGTTGGTTTCCCAACCTGGTCTTGCTACCTGCTCCTCCTTTCCCCCTTTTCTACTTCTCAGACGGTCTGTTCTGAGCTGGCAGAGCCAGGGCGTGGGCTATTCTGTCAGCAGTGCTGAGGGGAGAGTTGTTTATTCCATCTGCCCATGAGGGTGCTTTTCTGTGCAGCCAGCAGGGCTCCCAGCCGGCCTGCGGCTTTCTGGAGATGATGGGTTAGTGCTTTGCTGGCCACAGCCCAGGCCCGGGTCATGGTTGGCAGCATCAGTGGTTTTAATAAACAATCTCCTAAGTGAGCAGTGGTCGGTTTCCAGCGTGCTTTCTCCAGGGCAGTCTGATCCGTCATTCTCCAGCGCCGCTCCGACACTGCTCCTTTCCAGTGAGGGAGCCGAGCCCAGGTGAAACCTCCAGGGCCATGTGGCCCTCACACAGGGGTGCTGTGGGCCTGAGGTCAGAGTGGGCGTTACCAGTTATCCCCTGAGGGGACCGTGGGGTGACATGTGTGCCTTCCCCTGGGATGGGGTGTCCCCTCAGCCAGCCCTGCCAGAGGATGTCTCAGCATGGAGCCCAGGATGGACCCTCACCATCGGGGGCCTCAGTTGTTTGGGGTTCATGGTGGGCTGTGCTGTCCTACGCCTACCATACAAATTTCAAAGTAATTCAAAAGTGAGATGCAAAATTATAAGCGCAGTGAGATTTCCACATGAAAAAAAAAAAAAATAGGCCTGGAAAACTCTGGAAGGAAATAGAAACCTGAACACACAAACTCATATTTCCTCTAAGGGGTAGGGACGAGGGCGATTTTTTATTTTCTTGTTTATATATTTTTTTCTGGCGTTCAGTTTCTTTTTCCTGTGTCATAATCTAGGGGAACATACCCTATAAAGAAAAGTAATGTCCCTCCCGACTCCGGTGCAGTGTGCTGTCGTCAAGCAGGAGACGAGCCCAGGGGGAGGCTGGGAGGGAGCAGCTGCTGTGGAAGGGGCAGGAAGGGGCAGTGCAGGTGGAGGAAAAGGCGAGGAGCAATTACAGATGCTGCTGAGAGGAGGCGAGCTCCCAGCTCCTCTTTCTCCTCACCAAAGAGGAGGGACAGCTTTCTCTGAGCCTCACTACCGCAAGCCCAGCCCCCACAGGTCACCTGTAACTCTGAGAATCCACTCGTGGTGACACAGGAGGACAAGCCGTCAAGGAAATGACTTCACATTCTGTTCTTGGCCCTGGACCAGGGTTCTGCTGGCAGGCAGGCACCTCCTGACAGTCGACGGAAGAGACCCCTCTGCCTGTACGGTCTGGAGGCCATGCACTGGGGAGCCGGCACAGAGCAGGGGGCCCTGAGGCCTGGACGGTAGGAGCAGGGGTGCAGCTTGACCCCAGCCGGGGGGTAGGAAACCGGAATGACCTCCATGACTTGTCTGTCTCACCCCTCTTGACCTGACATCACCCTCGCCTGTTCCAGGGACTCTCTTGAGGGTGTCAGGATTGTGGGAGGAAGGCAAACCCTCCCTGTGTGTTCCCAGGCAGGCAGAGCTGAGCAGGGTTGCCCTGAGGGTGCTGGGATCTACCTGCTGTATCGGTGTCCCCATCCCAAGCCTCCTCCCTTCGGCCACAGGCCAGGGGATGGTGGGCAGCATGCAGCCTGTTTGTTTTATCATGACACCAGCACTGGCTAGCTTTGGGCCTGACTTTGGGATCAGGGGCTGGGAGAAAAGAGATGGCACCACACACGCACAAACACATATACACACACGCGCGCACACACACACGCACACACACTGTGTGTGTGCTAAGCACCTGAACATGTATATCCTTCTACCCAGAGCAAAGAAGAGAAAGTTCTGCACTGATCTGGCCGGACTCTGTGGATAGTCATTTGGGAGTGAGAGCTGGAGCCCCAGATACCTGGGAAACGGAAGCAGAGCCTCCCGGTCACAGGGATTAAACCCGTGGCCTCGGCCAGGCCTGAGGGAGGGATGATAGCTCTCCTCTCCTTCGTTCTTGCTTCTTGGGTTCTTGTTGGCCCTCAGCTGTCAGACTGGGCCAGTGCAGGGCCGGAGCAGAGCCTGGGGTTGGGGGGCAAGAGGATGAGCCCCCAGAGCCCTCACCTTCAAGGGGACCGAGGGCAGCCCAGGGAGGCTGGCTCAGTGCTGTGAGGTGCCATGTGCAGAGAGTCCGGCTGGCATCGGTTCCCACGGGGCTGCCAGCAGCCGGCCTCCCCAGCCTGGGGTTTTAGAAGCGAATAGGGAGCTGGCAGCCTCCATGAAGGCGGGAGACAGGGGCTGCTCCTTCCTGCTGGGTGGCTCCAGCCCCTTCCCCTCCCCCCTCTCCCTGCTCCTCCAGCCTCCCAGCCTGGGGGAGCTGCTGCCACTGCCCCCACCCCTCCAGTTCCTCGCTGATGTAAAACACTGAGCGTCCCTGCTGAGAGGGCTACGTGGCGGCTTCAGGTGTCTTTAAAACGAGATTTAGAAGAAAGAACTAGATGGCTCGAACCTGGTGGCTTGCACAAGGGCCCTGCATGCCGTGCCCTTTGATGGTGCCGTGCCCTTTGATGGTGCCGTGCCCTTTGTTGGTGCCGTGCCCTTTGTTGGTGCCGTGCCCTTCGTTGGTGCCGTGCCCTTTGATATTTGCTCACTGTTTGCTTAGTTTAGCCTGGCCACAAGGCCTTGAGGCCCTGCCAGCGCCTGTGAAAGGTGGTTTTCTAGTCCTTGTTGGAGCTGCCCCTGCTGCTGTGACTGGGTTTAGAACCTGCACGTGTGTGTGTGTGTGTGTGTGTGTGTGACACTGAGTGTGATTGCCGCTGGGAGCAGCAGAGGAACCAGAATTGTCTCTTTCCTGCCGTGTTCTGCAAGGTGTATCCTTTGGGTGCCCCCACCCCCCCGCCCAATCCCTCTGAACACAGCTGAGCGCAGCAGAGTGCTCTACAGTCATAGTGAACAGGGCAACTCACCTGCATCGCTGGAACCTCCCACCCACCCCCAAGCCCATTGCAGCATGGGGACCATCTGAATGTCCCACATCTCCTTGTACACACACACACACACACACAAATACACAGACACACACAAATACACAGACACACACACATGCACATACAGAGACATACACACATGTACATACTCAGAGACACACAAATACAGACACAGACACAGACATACCCACACACACACACACACACACACACACACGCTCACACACACAGTGCCAAAGGCAGTGCACACACATGCGAGCCAGCATGATGCAGAGAGGCCCCTGCTGGGAACTGGGGCAGCTGCCGCCCTCGGAGCCTGGGACCATCTGCTCCTCCTGCCCGTGTCCAGAGGCCTCCAGGGGGGCCCGTCTTTCCCACAGGCCCACTCGGTTCCCAGAGGGAAAGCCGGGTTCTCACACAGGCCTCCTGTGGGGTCGGCAGCTTTGGAAGGTGCTCAGAGACTGAGATGGTTTAGGGAGAGAGGTCAGGGCTGCTCACCAAAGAGCGAGGAGAGCTTTCCCCCTCAGGCCTCTGGGCATCCCCTCTGCTCCTGCCCTCCTCCCCTCCTCCTCTCCCCTCCTCCTCCAGCTGACCCAGTGGAGGGCCGGGAGGTGGCCAGTGGGCTGGGCTGGTGCAGAAGGTCATGGTGGGCCGGGGCTGTGTCTGCAGTGCCTCGAGAGTGGAAGGAAGCCAGTTGACACGCTATCGTGCATGCAGCCTTAGACATGTCCCTGACACTGACATTGCCCCTGGTGCCTCAGCTCAGCCAAGCGCCCCTGCAGCGTGCCACTCACTGCCAGGAGCTCATTCCCTGCCCTACCAGGGGGGCAGACTGGCTCCGCGCTGGTGTCCTGTTCTTAGACACTCCAACCAAGGCCCAGGATCACCCAGAGGAGCGGGCACCTAAGTTGGAAAAGCCAGGTGGTGGTCCCTGCTCTGCCCAGGCAGTGGACCCCAGGCCTGGCCCCAGGATCCAGCGTCAGACACACGCAGGGCTGTGGGCTGTGGATGCAGAGGTTTCAGCTGGGAGAGGCCTGGTCCTCCTGCCCTCCTCCCCAGGCCTCGGAGGCGGCGGCCAGTCTTTGCCAGCTCCCAGGGCTGCTCTGGGCGGCAGCTCATCGGCACAGAGGGCTCTCCTGCTGCCACAGAGGCCTCCCTGAGCCGGTCTCCTTTGCCTCCTTGGCTTTGAGCGGTGTGTCGGGAAGGACTTGGCACATGTATCCTTTGTGTCTCTCTTCCTGACTCTGCAGATGGGCGGGGAGATGGCTTCTCAAAGTGCATCAACCTGCCAGCGACCAGCAGGGTGACCTTGGACAAGCCACTTGGCTTCTCTAGGCCGCAGGGTGCTTGTGAGGGGTCCTAGGCCAGGGGCTGGCTCTTGCCCCAAGGCTGCAGCCATTGAAGTATGTCTTTGGGACAAAACTTGGGGCCTTGGCTTCCCCTGGGGTTAGCCACTTCCCACGGGGGATGCGATGGGTATGAAGAGGTGCCACGGGTTTGTGTCTTCTGGGAGAAGAAAGATCTATACTGGTAAGACCAGGACCAATACGGTCCCTGGCATCTTCAGAGGGACTTTCAGTTTATTTAAATCTCAAAGCCCTAGGAGGCAGAGGATGCCTCCCCACTTTGCTGGTGAAGAAATGGAGGCTCAGAGGTTAAAGGAAGTGCCTGAGGTCTGGGTGGCTGCAGGGCTGTTCTCGATCCTAAAGCCCGACAGTCCCTCTCCGTCTGGTCGTGGATCCTTGGAGCTGGCAGGTGCCATGCAGACAGGCCCGGGAGGCTGAGGCCCAGCGAGGGGAGGAGCTGTAGCGGGGCTCACAGCAGCAGGGCTGGGCCTGGACCCCAGGGCCCCGCGGTCCCAGCAGGCCCCTCCCCCGGCCGTCCTCGTCTGGCTCCGGAGGCCAAGAATGCCTGCTTTGTGCCGCACAATCTCGGTGATACGAGGGCCTCCCCGCTCTGAAGGCCCCAATTGTCCCTGTGAGCAGGGAGCTGGGCTGCCCACACCCCCGTCCCCACCCCTGCCCGCTGCGGGGCCTTTTGTGCTCCGGGATCTCACACAACAGCCGGGCTGTTGATCCGAAGGCCCTGGACGGCTGGGGGAGGGCGGCATGCCAGCGCTCTTCCCGGCGGGGATCGCCCCAGTTCCAGCCGGTTGGCGGGCCCGCTCCTCGGGGCCAGAGCCCTGCAGCCCTGGGGAGGGGCCCTCGGGCACTCGGGGGACCTTGTGCCCTGTCCTGGCTGGGCCCCTCGCCGGCTGCTCTGCGAAGTGGGGAGAGCCAGACCCCTCTCCGGCCTCGGCTTCCTTCTCTGTGAACACAAGAGTTGGATAGTTGCCGAAACGGGTTTGGCTCAGTGGATAGAGCGTCGGCCTGCGGACTGGAAGGTCCCGGGTTCGATTCCGGTCAGGGGCATGTGCCTTGGTTGCAGGAGGCAGCTGGTCAATGTTTTCTCTCTCATCGTTGTTTCTAACTCTCTATCCCTCTCCCTTCCTCTCTGTAAAAAATCAATAAAATATATATTAAAAAAAAAAAGAGTTGGATAGTAGAGAAGATTGGAGAGGTCTGGGGGGCAAAGAGAAGATTCCTCTCAGGCCTGCCTCTGGGCAGCAGGAGGAACGCCAAGGGCCGGCCAGCCCCACGGCTGCTTTGGGGCTGTGCACCCCCAGCTGGACCCCCTCTCAGGAAAAGGGGGTGAGTCCCTCCTGCTCAGTCATGGCAGAGGCACTCAGGCATCAGATGGGCGTTAGAGGCCCAGAGAGGGTGTGTGGGCAGGAGGTCGTGTGTGTTCAGGGTGCGAGTGAGGGGGTGCTCCGTGCAGGTGGGGGGCGGGGGGGCTTCCCAGGCACCTGGGCACTCTGTCCCAATGGGAACCTCTGGGAGGCCTCGGTTGGTCTCTGAGGTACGTGTGGTCCTCTTTTGTAATCTTTCTCTCTCAATAGACCATCGACTTTCTGAACAGCAACATTCGAAGAGGCATCGTGAACTACTACGATGACCTGGACTTCAAAAACATCATGGACTTTGTTCAGAAGAAGGTGAGCCGGGCTGTCTGCATCAGAGCTGTGCCTCCCGTGCGCTTCTCCCCCTCCTCCCTGCCCCGCCCTCGCTTGGGACCCTGCTCCAGAGGGGGAGGGAGAGGGGATGTGTGGCTTATCCATGCCCAAGCAGGTGGCAGACCAGCCAGGATGGGGCTGACCTTCTCAGCCAGTCCTCTGCCCACGGGCCTTGCTCTACCTGTTCCATGGACCCTCCCCCTAAAAGAATAAAAAATAAAACAATAGGGTGTAGCCACGAGCCACCCTGCAGCGTCCCGGGTGCCCCTCTCCAGCGGGCACATATCCTCCTTCCCTGAGATGGGAGAGAGCTGAGCTCTAAGCCACCCAGTGCTAGTCCCTTCTGCCAGCTCCTCCAGCGGCGGGAGCTCAGCCCCTGCCAAGCCCAGGTCAGCCCCAGGAGGAGCAGAGCCCTTCCCTGATCCCGTCTGTCCGTCCGGAGCAGAACAGACCTTCCCCTGCTCCTGCAGGACCCTTCTCGGACTGCGGTGACGTCATTTTGAATGCTGTCCCTCTCCCCCAAGGGCGGCCCACGCCTGTGAGCGCAGTAGCAGTCCTGCTCGGCTTAGACACACCTCATTTAGTCCTCACCCTCAGGCTCCTCCTCTGCCTGGGGGTGGGGAGGGGGGCACTGATGGCCCCTCCTCTTGGCGCCATTGTGGGGTTGCCTTGACTTGATTCAGAAGCCCTTGGAGCAGTGCCAGCAGGTGGCTACACCTCAGTCAGCAGGTGTCAGCGTCCTCGTGTCCTCCCAGGTGAGGGCAGGCAGAGCTGGGGGACTGTGAGCCTGCTCGGCCCCGACGGCACTTCCTGGGACATGACCTGGGGGGCTTCCGCTGGCCTGACCCCGGTGATAGCCCTCAGCGGGGACCGGGGACGGCGTCTCCCTGCACCCAGGGCCCCCGCCGTGGCCACGCCCTTGGCTCAGGGCTCTCCTGTGGCCGCAGCAGGTGCAGCCGCTGCGCTGGGAGGCCCTTCTCGGCCAGGGCCGTGCCTGCCAGCTCGGCTGTTGGGTGGAGCACGCGGCGATTTCATTGGCCTGGAGCTGGTTGGGGATTTTGTTTCTCCCAGGGTGGGTTGGGGGTGTGACTCACACTCACGGGCACCACTCGGTGTCAGGCCTTAGGCTGGGTGCGTCATGCACGGCCTCTCTGCAATCCTCGGCTCAGCTGCGCACAGCTGGGATTCCTCACCCTGCTTATGGAGGGGGGTCTGAGGCTCAGAGAGGCTGATCGCCTTGCCTGAGGTCACACAGCGAGGCGTGGTGGCCTGAAGGTGCGAACTTGGGTCTGTCTGGTTGCAAAGCCCTTTTGCACTGTATCACAGAGAGGCACGTCCAGGTCCTAAGACCTGATATACAATAATAGCCTCACCGGCCCCGGGGAGGCCGAGAAAGGTTGCGGGGTTTATGTTTCTGCCAGGACCCCCAGCCATACCACTCCCCGGGCTAAACCCTCCAGGGCCTGCCCGCCACTCAGAAAGAATACCGCCCCAGCTCCTACTGTTCTGCCTCACCAGGCTCTGTATGTCTGGCCTGAGCTGCCCCCCTCTCCCTCCCCCATCCCCCATCCCCCTCCCCCATCGCCCTCTCCCATCCCCCTCCCTCCTCCCCCTCCCCCCTCCCCCTCTCCTCGCTGTGCCCTGCACGCTGGCCTCCACCTGCTGCTGAAATACAACCGGCCCGTTGCTGTGCAGGGTCTTTGCGCGTGTTGACTTTTTCCTGTTGTTCGTGCTCCTGATTAAATGTCATCTCAGCGGCCTTTCCCGGCCTCCACCCTGAGGCTGCCCCTCCTGCTCCCTTCCTGTGTGCTCACATTCCGTGCTGTGCTCACCCTCGGACTGCCCCCGCTGGGTGTGTCCCATTCGGGTGGGCAGGGGCTGCGTGGCTCTGCTCACCCTGACGCTCTGGTGCCTGGGCACACTGCGCGCGCACACACACACACACACACACACACACCCGCAGAGAACTCCTCGCCCAGGCATCGGCACCCCTCCAGGGGGAGATGCAGGGGGGAACTCCTCTCCGGGGAGAATGGCACCACTTCTCTCGGCTCAGTGCTGAGCCCCGGGCAGGATGGAGGCGGGTGCCTCTCTGCTCAGGACAGGCAGCGCTGGGGCCAGCGAGGTGCAGGGGCCCCTGGGCTGTGGTGGCTCCCACAGAATCCTAGTCTCTGGGACCTTGAAGGCCAGCTTCTCTGGCCTGACGCCGGCCCTGGGACATGAAGATGGAACCCACTTGCCAAGGAAGGACTGGGCCCTCCCGTGCTCAGTCACCACTCCGACGCCCCACCATGGGCTTCTCCGCCTAGGCTTGTGTGCCTCTCCGGTGACGGGGTGCTCCCTGCCTCCACTCTGCCTGGGGAGTGCTTCCCCCTGACAGCCTCCAGGTCTGTCTGATTCCCATGTGGCTTATCCATCCCCAAGCAGGTAGCTGGCCAGCCAGGATGGGGCTGACCTTCTCAGCCAGTCCTCTGCCCACGTGCCTTGCTCTACCTGTTCCATGGACCCTCCTCCTAGAAAATAAGAATAGGGTGTAGCTATGAAGCCCCACAATGACACCAAGAGGGGGGACCATCAGTACCCTGTGAGGCAGAGGAGGAGCCTGAGGGTGATCAGGAGGGATGTGGCTCACCCTCCTGGGAGCAGGGTGAGCCACCTCGATGGCCTCGTCCGCTGCCAGGGCGCCCTCCCGCGGTCGGTCTGCCCGCGGCCGCCGTGCTCACAGCGGCTCCTTCCCCGCTTGCTTCCTCTCGCAGTTCAAGTGCTGTGGCGGCGAGGACTACCGCGACTGGAGCAAAAACCAGTACCACGACTGCAACGCCCCCGGACCCCTGGCCTGCGGGGTGCCCTACACCTGCTGCTTCAGGAACACGGTACCCCCTGCCCCCGGCCTCCCAGCTGGCCGGCACCCTCATCGTCTTTCAGGACAGGGTGCAGGGGGGTGGGAGAGGCCGCAGGTGGTGGTCATCGGTCAGGCTTCCCGGGTCTCATGGGCTCCTGCGGGGGTGAAGCCGGGGCCCTTCCTTCGCCAGCAGGGGGGAGTGTAGCCCCCATCCCTGGTGCCTCGCCTGTGCGGGCCTCGCTAGGTGACTTATTATTATTGATTTCAGAGAGAGAGGGAGAGATGGAAACATTCATGATACGAGAGAACCATGGATCAGTTGCCTCCTGCACGCCCCCTACTGGGGATTGAGCCCAAAATCCGGGCATGTGCCCGGACCAGGAATCAAACCTGTGGCCTCATAGTTCATAGGGTCTATGTTTAACCACTGAGCCATGCCACCGGCTGTCTAGGTGCTTTAGTTGTATTAACCCACGTAGTCCTGTCCGCTACCCTGTGAGGTAGGTGCTGTTGTATCATCCACCGAACAGGAGAGGAAACGGAGGCAGCAGCAGGTGGGCAGGGCTGGGACAACGTGCAGGCAGCCATCGCTGGAGCTGTGCTCGGGCTGCTGGACGAGCCGGGCCGGGAGCAGGAGAGGACTAGGGCCAGGGTGGCTCAGAGAGGCCAGTTCTGCCTCCTCAGCCGAGGGCCAGCGCCGGGCCTGCCTTAGGCGTCTCCGGGGCTTGGGGGCGTGGTGATTACCAGTGACAAGGCCTGGAAGTGGGGCTGGTGACGTAAATGCCATCAGAGGCCTGCCAACCCTTCCCCTACTTAGCTCCTTGGGAGGCAGTCCCATGTAGTCACCGCTGACAGAGGGGAGAGGCTCCGTCCATCTTCTGTGTTTGACTAACGTGTCCCAAAGCTGCCCGGTGCCCGGGCCGGAATGAGGCAGAGAGCTTCGCCATGACTCATGTCCGGACGATCCTGGAAAATGTCTCTTCGGCCGTCTCCGTCACTCTGTGCCCACCAGCGGGTTCTGTAAACTGAGCAGCCGGTGGCGAGGGTGCGGCCTCGCCTGGGAGTCGGGGAGCCAGTGACAAGTGTCTGAGACCTAAAAACAAGCTGGGGCGGGGGGGAAGGTGTGTTGGAAATTTTAGCTGCCATTTTAGGGGAGTTCTCTGGGCAAAGGGGTGCTGGGAAGGAGCCCAGTGATCTGGGGTGGGGGAGGGCTGTGGGAGGTGATCCTGAACTTCGTCACCCAGGGCAGTGGCACCTGAATGTCCACGCTGAAATGTGGAAGCCCAGTTTTCACTCATCCATTCAACAAGTGTTTATTGAGGACCAGCTACTTGCCAGATGTGGTTCTGGGTTCTGGGGGTTGGTTCTCAGGCAAACACACAGGGAACTCTGTCCTCCTGGGGAAAATGGACAAAACACATAACAAAGGGGGATGTTAGAAGGTGACAAATGCTACGGATAAAAACAAAGCAGGAACACGAGAGGTTGCCGTTTTAGATACTGAGAAGGTGGGTTCTCCATGACACCGTAAGAGGTGGGTGCAGGGAGGCTGGCTAAGGGCAGGCGAGTGTGGTGGCCCAGGCGCCACAGGTCAGCTGTCGGGGCAGCAGGCTCTGCGATTCGGGTTCGTGAGCAGGAGGCTCAGCAGAAGGTGCTTTCGGGGTCAACACCCGTAAGGGAGCTGACAGAGGCAGAGCTGGGCAGAGCGGGGAGCTGAGCAATGATGCAGACCCAGAAGGCACCTCAGTTGAATCCCTGTGGATTCCCTGAGTTGCCCACACTGGGACACGGAGCCCAAGGCTTCATGCCCACCGGGACCAGGCGTCGCAGGGGTCCAGTGTCCCACCTGGGAGGACTGCTGGCTCTGTGCGGCAGAGACACAGAACTAATAGGACTTATGCCTGTGCGTGTGTGTGTGTGTGTATATGTATGTGTATGTGTTGTGTCTGTGAGTGTGTATGTGTGTATGTGAGTGTGTGTGTATGTGTGTGTGTATGTGTTGTGTCTGTGAGTGTGTGTGTGTGTATGTATGTGTATGTGTTGTCTGTGAGTGTATATGTGTGTATGTGAGTGTGTGTGTATGTGTGTGTATGTGTTGTGTCTGTGTGTGTGTATGTGTTGTGTCTGTGAGTGCGTGTGTGTGTGTGTGTGTGTGTGTGCAGCGTGATTTATCATAGGGAGTCGGCTCACAGAGTTATGGAGGCAAGGGAGTCCTGAGAGCTGCAGGGTGAGTCAGCAAGCTGGAGACTCGGGAGAGCTGAGGCTTTGTTCTGCGCTGAGCCTCCGGGCCTGAGATCCAGGAGCGGCTGGTGTGGGCCCTCTCTGAAGGCTGGCAGGCTGGAGACCAGGGCGAGCTGGGGTTTCAGGTCAGATCTGAAGACAGTCTGGCTAGAAGCATTCTCTATAAATGGGGGCGAGGGGCAAGAGGGCAGCCTTTTTGTAAATGATTTTTATTTTTATTTTATTTTTAAATATATATTTTATTGATTTTTTTACAGAGAGGAAGAGAGAGGGATAGAGAGTTAGAAATATCGATGAGAGAGAATCATCTATTAGCTGCCTCTTGCACACCCCCTACTGGGAATGTGCCCACAACCAAGGTACATGCCTTTGACCGGAATCGAACCTGGGACCTTTCAGTCCGCAGGCCGATTGGCTCTATCCACTGAGCCAAACTGGTTTCAGCTTAAATTGATTTTTAGTGAGATGGGGAGAGGGAGAGAGCAAGGGAAACATTGATTGGCTGCCTCCTGCCCTTCCCCTATCAGGAACTGAGCCTGAAACCCAGGCGTGTGCCCTAACCAAACAGGCGACCTTTTAAAGCAGGGGTGTCGAACTCAATCAGAGAAGGGGCCAAAATCTAAAATCCAGCCTAAATCGCAGGCCGAATGGTTTACTGAACAGTCATAAACTGTCATTGTGATGGAAACGCAGCGGAGTGCAGTGATGACAGCGCGGTGCGGGCAACATTGCAAGGCCTGGCGGGACGGATTTGGCCCGCGGGCCTTGTGTTTGACACATGTGTTTTAAAGGCTCACTGGACGATGCTCTGCCAACCGAGCCACGCCGGCCAGGGCAAGGAAGCCCTTTTGTCCGAATCAGGCCTTTCACAGACTGGACAAGGCCTGCCCATATTAGGGAGGCCAATCCACTCTCCTTGGTCTACTGATTTGTTACTCTCGTTGGAAAAATACCCGCACAGAAACACCCAGGATAATGCTTGGCGAACTATCTGGGCACCGTCAAGCTGGGTCAAATCAACACATAAAATTAACCACACGTGACGGTCACTGCGGGGGGCGGAAGGGGGGGCTGACAGCTAAGGGCAGCAGCTGTGGGTGCCGGGCAGCTCCTCCCAGCACCCACCACTCCAGGCAGGAGGAGGCAAAGGCTTAGGGCCAGGGGGCGGTTGTGGAGGAGGCAAACCGCGTTTTGCAAGTGAGACAGCAGGATTTGCTGACAGGTCGGGTGTGGGAGGTTGGTGAGAGGAAACCGAGGAGAACTCCCAGAGTTTGGTCTGAGCTATGAGAAAGGTGGGGCTGCCGCTGCTGGAGGGGGAGGACGACAGGGACAGATTTGGGGGCGTCAGGAGCTCAGCAGGGACACGTGCGGTGTGAGAGCCAGTGTGACGTGCCAGCAGGACGGTCAGGGCGGTTGTTAGCGAGAAGCCTGGAGTCGGGGGAAGTGGCCAGGCTGGAAGCGGACACACAGATGCCGTCTGCAGAGAAAGGGAACGGAAAGCTGGCCTCCAAACGGGGACGCCCGTGGGGAGCTGCCCGCCACCCGGCCGCGTGGTCTCAGGTCCCGGAGCACAAACCTGCTGGGTGCCCCCTCTGCCTCCCGCACGGGGGTGATTTTCTCTACATGCAAAAGGGGGGTGGGTTTCCTTCCTCAATGGAATCGGGTCCATCCGCATGTGATTCTACTAGTTTTATAGGATCGCATTCAGCCAAGGTTCTGAAACACACAGAACAGAAACCTAAACTTTAAAACATAATCAGAGCCAAGGGAAATGTATTCTGAAGTAGGAGGGCTGGGTGAGGGAGAAAACGTGGGATACTGACCATCAGCCTACAGCAGTGTTTCCCAAAGTGTGGTGCGCGTACCCCCAGGGGTACGGGGGGAGTTTGGTGGGGGTACGCGCTGCTCCGGAGTTTGGTGGGGATATGCACTGCACGGTGCTTAGCTGCGCCTAATTCTACGTTCTCATGAGTACGAGGGGCACTCAGCGTTACGAAAGTTATAGAAGGGGTGCACAGATGTTAAAAATTTGGGAAACACTGGCCTACAGGCTTGTGGAGTCCCTGAAAACGAGCCTCGGGTTTGGTAGCTGGAGCTCCCTGCAGCCGGAGGGAAGGAGGTGTGCCTGCTGCCCCGGCAATGGGCAGCAGGGTCGCCGTTCCCCTGCGCTCAGCTCGGAAAGAGACGTCCTAACAACGGGGCTTCCTAGAGGGTTTGGGCAGGACTAGTCCCTCCCCCTGAGAGAGTTCTTCCTGCCTGGGTGGCCCCTGGCCTGCAGCATCGGCTCTCCCTGGGGCAGGAGCCCCGCCTCAGCTCTCCGGCTCCCTCGGGGGTTTGAGCCACAGAGCTTCCCGTTGGCTTGTAAATATCGATTCTGTGGTCACGCCCAGGCGGGCTTGACCCTGGAAAAGCCCATGACTGCTCTTTATCCCCCTCCTGGGAGGGGAGCTCTCCTGGAAGGGAAGGCGAGCCCCCCCCCCCCAGGGCGGAGGGAGGGTCCTGGGCTCCTGGGTGAGGGACACCTCTGCCCGCGGCCGCCTGTCCGCTGCTCCCCGGGGCAGGAACCACAGGGAAGTCACTCTTGTTACATGCCACGGAGTTTGCCTGTTTGTTATGTCCACGTCTCCCTTTTCCGAATAGAAGTTCCCTGAAGGAAGGACTTCCTTTTCTTCGTCTTTATTCCAAATACCTAGGGCAGTTATGGGAACTGTGTGCAGTCCATATTTGCCTGCGTGAACGAACAAACAGGGTGGGAAGCGTCCACTCCCATGGAGAGCCCAGGTCCCTGCTCCTGGCCTGACCCTGGGGGTCACGTTCATGGCCTGGAGTGGCGAGAATGCTCCATGGATGTGGGTGGTGCTGGGGCCCGGGGCTCCTGGCGGACAGTTGAGACTGGGGATGTTTTGCTCACCGGGCCCTGGAACGTAGACTGATCTGGGTGATGTCTGAGTTGCACCTGCTTCCTCCTGGCCCTCCCGGAAGCTGGGGTTATGAACAAAGTTATAAACAAAGTCCCTCCAGCTGGCATTCCCGGGCCCTCCTGTGTGCCTGGCCCGGGGACAGGCACTTCAAGTGCATATCTCACTTGATGTTCAAAACGGCCTCATGAGGTGGGTTCACTGACCACCGTTGCTTATGGAGAGGATCAGGGAGCCTATCATTCATTCATTCATTCATTCATTCAGCAAACACGTATCGACTCCATGTGCCAGCCCCTCCGCAGCACACCGGAGGCTGGTCACAGAGCTCAGAGTGACCGTGGGGTCTGACCAGGCACCGTGATGCCGGAGGCCACGCTGCTGGCACCCTGCCCCCCAGCAGCTTTCCCTCAGAGGGGGAGGGCGGGACCGGGGCACCCAGCTTCCTCTCGCCTCATAGAAGGAGGAGACCGCTCGGGCCCACAGGCCTACTGGGAAGGGCTTTGACGGGGTCCAGGGCGGAACACAGCTTTCCCTGCACCTAAGAGTGTCAGCATCAGTTCTTGAGAAGGAGTCTCTTCCCAATAAGGGACTGGCGGGCACTTCCACTGGGCAGTCTGCTGGGGCGGGGCAGTGGGTCAGGGGTCCCAGCCCTGCCCTCAGATAACCCAGCACTGGCCAGCCTCGTGGCTGTGGTCTGGGGTTTTCCTCCAGGAGCCGGCAGGGCAGGCTAAGCCCAGCTCGACCTCTGAGACAGGGCATCTGCCTGCCAGCAGAGCTGTGCCCCGCGGGGCCGCGGTGGGGCAGCCTGGACGGCATGCTTTTCTCTGGGTTCCTGGGCTGCCGCTGATGGAGGTGTGGTTCCCACCAAGTGCTGAGAACTAGCCTTCCCACCATCCCTCTATGGTAAGGTGACCAGACGTCCCGCTTTTGGCAGGACAGTCCTGATTTTTAACAATTTGTCCCGCATCCCGCGGCATTTTTTTTTTAAAAATGCCGCGGGACGCGGGACAAATTGTTAAAAATTGGGACTGAACATTGTTAAAAATTGGGACTGTCACACCAAACGCGGGATGTCTGGTCACCTTACCATGGGCATTTCTTAGCGGGCGGGCGGGCGGGGGCAGGCGGGGCGGGGAGGGGGGGGGAGATGCAGACCCAGCCAGACTGCCAGGAGGGATCCCAGCTGCAGCCATACCGACTCCTCCGGGCTCTCCCCATGAAACGGGAGGATGCGCGTCCGACAGTGCGCACCGCCCTCGTCCGCTCACACGCCTTTCTCTTATAGACAGAGGTCGTCAACACCATGTGTGGCTACAGGACGATCGACAAGGAGGTAATGTCTTCCGAGTCTCGGGAAGGTTGCTCTTCCTGTCCCCTCCCCAGGGTGCCTGCAGGGGCCCCTCAGGGTGAGCTCCTGGCTGCTGGGATGTCCCAACATCTCTGGCTGTGGACAGGAGCCGGGGACTGGCAGGGGTTCCTACCTCTCCCCAGACGTGGGTTGGGGGGGATGCGTGGGTCTCAGAGCGCCATGGGCCCCTTGGCTGGGAGAGGTCGCTGGCCAGGGTTTGCACCTGCTGGGGACTTGTCGGTGAGGCATGCTCGTGTGCCCAGTGTGCCCAGCGCCGGCCTGCCTGCCTCTGCCCTCAGAGCACCCATTTGCAGATGGCCTCCCCCGGGTTCTCTCAGCCGGGGACCCCGGAGGCACTGGAGGACAGAGCTCTCAGGGGTCCCTCCTGGGTCAGCTCTCCCTGCTGGGAGAGAGGTCGAGTGCTGAGGAGGAGCCGACCGGATGCCCGGGTGCCCGGGTGCCTCTGGGCAGTGGCTCTCGCAGTGCGGGCCCAGCAGCAGCAGCAGCACCAGGAGCTCATTAGAAGCACATTCCGGGGTGGGGCCGGAAGGTGGTTTGGGCCCACACTGCCCCTGGAGAGCCACAGGGCGGCCGTGGCTCTCAACCCATCAGACCCGTGGCCCGTGATTGTACGAACCTCTTGGTAATGCCCTCGACATCCTCCTGAGATGAAACCCACCGGCAATATAACCTGTGACCCACCTACACGCCTCGTTTCAAAACAAGTGGCGCTGACCTAACTGAGATGGAAGGAGAAGCGAAACAGAACAACGTATAACCATGCAGCACATTTCCACACTGCCGCTGGAGACACGCTGCGGTCGTGTGTCTGCACACAGACGCGGCGGCTGCCATGGTGGCACCTTGCATTATTTTTGTAGTTAATGTGTTTTGTTTTGTGTTTTTTTTTTTTAAATGGCGGACGCTTCTCAAGAAAGCTCTGCACAAAATAAATTATAACCGCCCCTTTAATTTACATAGTGGTGCTTCTGCAAAATTTCAGGGTCGGTGCCTGGAGGCAGGCTTTTGGCTCAGAGAACTAGGAGTGGGTTTTCACCCCCAGGGGACATAGGGAGCCTGGGGGACATAGGGAGCAGGCAGGCCAGGAAGTGGGTGAGGCAGGGTTGCCGTGGGCTCTGGAGCCCCCTGGTCCGCAGCCCCGTTCGCCGTGACCGCCAGCAGTGCCACCCTCGTGGGAACACAGCTTCCCACTGAGACCCGGCCATCTGGACCCACCTTCTCGCATGCATGTGTGCAACGGGTTCAGGGAGGCGGAGGGGCCTGGCCGGACCTCGAATGGGTGGTCGTGGGGCCCGGGGCGCGGCCCGGGGAGGCGCTCAGCCGGCTCCGTCCCCCGCAGCGCCTCAGCGTGCAGGACGTCATCTATGTGCGGGGCTGCACCAACGCCGTGCTCATCTGGTTCATGGACAACTACACCATCATGGCGGGCCTCCTGCTGGGCATCCTGCTCCCCCAGGTGGGCTGGGCCCCTCTCCACGCTGGGCGGGAGGGGAGGGAGAGGGGAGGGCGGGCTGTGGCTCCGATAAAGGGTGACAGGTGAACGCAGGGTGCGGAGGAGGCACCAAGGGGCCGGTGAAGAAGGCTCTTGTACCGGCAGTAGCGTTGCTTATAAGCTCTTCTGTGTGCTGCCCAGGTAGGTCCTGCTATCATACCCATTTGTCAGAGGAGGGACCGAGGCTCGGCAGGGTTCAGTGACTCGCCCCAGGTCCTCCAGATTGTGAGCGGCATAGCTGGGAGGGGACAGGAATCCCAGAATGGAGGAGCCTCTGCGGATGGGCACAGGGAGGTCTCTGGGGTTTCCTGGGAGGGCAGAGGGCAGAGGAGGGCCCGGGGCGGGGGGCTGCTTGACAGTGGGATGCTGGGAGAAGGCTGTGCTCTGGGGTTTGGGGGTCTCCGGTGCCACGTGTGCTCCTGCCTGGCGGCCTGGGTTTCTGGGGACAGGCTGCCAGGGAGGGCCGCCCGGATGCCCCGCAGGCTCTCACCCGCCCGCCCTCCCTTCTCCTCAGTTCCTGGGGGTGCTGCTGACCTTCCTGTACATCACGCGGGTGGAGGACATCATCACGGAGTACTCGGTCACCGACGGGCTGCTGGGGCCCGGCGCCAAGCCCCGCCTGGACGCGGCGGGCGCAGGGTGCTGCATGTGCTACCCCAGCTAGGGCCGCCGGGGGCAGGGCGGCCGGAGGACGATGCCAGCGCAGCCCTGCCTCGTGGGCGCCGGACAGGACAGGGGTCCTCTCCCTGGTCGGCACTGAACAGAGCCTGGCTGTTGGCTCTCGTGGCTGGCTGGGGCCTCCCGTGGCCACTGGAGGATCGAACCTGAGCCTCCCCAGCTCCCGTCTGCGTCTGCTCACTGCGGGGCGCGGGGAACCGGGTGGCCCTTCCCCAGGCCTGGGCCTCGGGGAGGGGACTCCCCGCGCTCAGCTCAGGGCCGAGGCATTTCTGGCCGTGCCTTGGCCTCGGATGTCCCTCTGGGGCGGTTTTCCGTGGTTTGTGAGTGGGGAGAGGAGAGCAGGTGTGCCCCGGCGTGCGGGAGTGGGGGTGCACACCCAGGTCCCCGTCCCTCGGCCACGCCCCACGGCCAGGGGGGCCTGGTCCTCAGCCTCCAGGTGCCTTGAGCCCTCCCCCGGGGGCTGCCGCTTTGCTTGGTCCTGTTTTTTTACACGATTTGGTAACACTCGTTTTGTACACGGTTAACAGGAGTTCCTGACTAATCAGAGCTGGGTGCTTCCCAGCACTCCACTCTTTTCCTCCCAGCTGGTTTATTAATCAAACAATAAAGACTTCATTTGTGTGTGTGTGTGTGTTGCATTCGTGCCGTTGGGTGCGGGGCGGGGAGGTGGGGGGGAGGCTTGAACCTGGGCCCAGCAGCCCCTGTTGGTGCAGGATCGAAGGGGCCCACCCCGGGGCCCAGGTTTGGGACAGCGGAACCCTGAGGCCTGGGAGTCTCGGCAGCGGGCCCCGGGCTGCCCGCTCCGGGCCGGGAGTGGCCTCTCCCGGTCTCCGTTCTCCAGTGTTGCCACTTAAGGAAATGAAATGGCTTTTCCCAGCCGTGCCTGTGGGCTGGGCCTTTCCTGCTGGGAATCGGCTGGTGGGAAACCTCAGGGGAGGAGGCAGCGATGACTGCCTCCTTTATGGACTGGGAGGCCGAGGCCACGCCACCTGTGGCCTGAGGCGCCTCCTCGGGGAAGGGGCGAGGGGAGCTAGGAAAGCCTCTGGTCTGGGAGGAGCAGGGCCCACGGCCCACGGCGGTGTCAGCCCCAGAGTGACGGTCCCTCCTTCGGGAGGCAGTGCAGTGGTTCCCAGGACGGGGTGGGGCCGATGGCTGCGGGATGCCCAGCACAGCCTGGTGCTCACTGCCCCCTGCTGGAGATGGCAGGCCCTACATGGATCCGTCCACTCATGCCTTCCTGCAGCCCCACAACTTGGATTCTACATTTTCTGTGAGGTGCCAGGGCAATAGAATCAAACAGCCAGAGCCCCAGACCTGATGTAATTAATCTAGGGGTGTTAAGGGACACGTCCAACACACCCAGGAGTGAGCGGTTGGATGCTTGGTCGGCTATGTGTACAAGCCTCGCTTACCACGTGCAGGGAAGGGCAGGAGAAGGGGTTTTCAAAAGGAACAGAATGATACAAGAGCAAACATCAGCAAGCAGCCTTGGGCCTAGACTTGTACGTGTCTAAACATCTTATAGATATTGCCGAAACCGGTTTGACTCATTGGGTAGCAGGCGTCTTCAAACTACGGCCCGCGGGCCACATGCGGCCCGCAGAGGAGTCTGATCCGGCCCGCCAGGTTTTTTGGGCAGTGAGCGCAGCCGAGGTGTTACAGTAGGAATTAGTAGTTCATATAGTCCGGCCCTCCAGCTCTCTGAGGGACCGTGATCTGGCCCCCACTTTAAAAAGTTTGAGGACCCCTGGGGTAGAGCGTCAGCCTGCGGACTGAAAGGTCCCGGGTTCGATTCCTGTCAAGGGCATGTACCTTGGTTGCGGGCACATCCCCAGTAGGGGATGTGCAAGAGGCAGCTGGTCAATGTATCTCTCTCATCGATGTTTCTAACTCTCCCTCTCCCCTCCTCTCTGTAAAATATCAATAAAATATATTTTAAAAAATAAAAAATCTTACAGATTTGAATTCCTTCAATGTTCACAACTGTACGTGGTAATTCTCACCTTCATTTTGCTGATGGAGGAACTGAGGCACAGGGCAGTGGAGTCACTGGCCGCAGGGGCACGGCTGGTGGCTGACGGCCGTGGTATGACCCCTGCAGACGCTCAGGGCATGCGGCCCCCTGCTGCGCGGCCTGCTGCCTCGCGTGGACACCCGGCAGGAGGTGTGCAAACCAGGGACAGCGCAGCCACTGCCACAGCCTCGCCTGGTCCCCAGCTTGGCCTCGGGACACGAGGCCAGGCTGAACTGTGCCTGCCTGGCCGGGGGCCTCCTGGCTCCGGGCTCCGGCTGTTCTCTGAGGATGCGCTCCATGCCCGGAGCGGCCTCTGGGGCAGCAAGGTGCAGACGCTGAGGCCTGGGTCTGCGCTGAGTGCACTTGTCTGAAGCCGCCGGACCCCGGGACCTGGGAGACTCTGGCCGCCTTCTCCTCGCTCCAGCGCCGCACACGGTACCCGCTCCTCCCTCTGCTGCTCACGGGGACCAGGGACCGTGGGTGGCGCCCACAGGTGACTGCGCTCAGTGGGCACGTTTACTTCTGTCCAGCCCTTAGCCGCTCGCCTCTCCAGAAAGCAAAGCGAGGAACGTAGCGAGGACTTCTCAGTCCTGAGGTTGGGAGGCCTCTCCTTCTGTGCTGCAGCGCCAGTGACATCATCGTGGCCCGTGGCCTCCCAGGCGTGGAGGAATGGCCCTCAGAACGAGTCCTTTCCCAGACCATGGCACACAGAGTGACGGCATAGTGCGGGCCTCCCTGTCTGTGAAACGGGGTTTGTGGGCTGTGATTTCGGACATGCTTGCTATCTGCGTGTATAAAAAGCCAGCGACCGGAACGCCGGAACAGCTGGTCACTATGATGCCCACTGTGGCCAGCAAACCGCCGATCAGGGGGTGAGGCCGGCCGGCCAACCCCCTGAGGCCCCTCCCCCCTGGCAGGCTGGTCCCTGATGGGACTCTCCCACCTCATCAAATCGGCCGGCCAGCCAAATGCTCCCCCTACCCTTACCCCTCCAGCCCTGTCCCTGATTGGCCCACCCTACCATGATAGGCCCACAGCCCATCCCCCTGGCTGGCCAACCCCCTGCAGCCCCTCCTCCCTGGCAGGCTGGCCCCTGATCAAACTCTTTGTAACAGTTTTTTGAGGTATATTTAACACAAACTGCACATATTTAGAGTGACAAATATATTTTTAAAAATAAAGTGACAAATATATCATTAATGAAACCATCACCACAGTTAAGATAATGAACATATCCATCACCCTAAAAATTGTCCTCTTATCTGTTAGTAATTCCTTCTGTATAGCCCTCCCCACAATACCATTCCAAGGAAACCACGGGCCTGCTTCTGTCTCTTTAAATTACTTTGTATTTTCTAAAATTTTAAATAGTGGACGTACACAGCATGTACTCTTCATTTGTCTGGGTTTTTCTTCTAACAGAAGTATTCTGAGATTCATTTATTTTGTAACATATATCAGTAGTCCATTCCTTTTTACTTCTCAGTAGTACTTGATTTATGGATGTACCATAGTTTATTTATCTATAATAGTATTCTATTTATGAATGTACCATAATTTATCTGTTCACTTACTGATGGAGATTTGTCTTGTTTTTATTTGTTACTGCTATTCCAAATAAAACCATTGTGAAGATTCATGTATATGTCTTTATGTACCCTGTTTCCCCAAAAATAAGACAGTGTTTTATATTAATTTTTCTCCCAAAGTTTTGCTAGGTCTTATTTTCAGGGGATTTCTTATCTTTCCATGCGCTAGGTCTTATTTTCGGAGGATGTTTTATTTTCGGGGAAACACGGTAGAAATATACCACTGACCCTCAAACAATTCAGGGCACTCAAAAATCTGGGAATATCTTTGACACCCCCAAAACTTAACAGTTGGCTCTTCACATCTGTGGATTCAACCATTCGAGGATCCAAAGCAGTATTTTTGATTCACAATTGGGAATCCTCGGTTGGGAATCTGCGGTTGGGAATGTGAAAATACAGTTTTTCCAATCCGCCGTTGGTTGAATCTGCGGTGCGAAACCCACAGATACATGGGGCTGACAGTATTTTCCCCACGCAAGTGGACCCACACGGTTCAAAACAGTGTTATTCAAAGGCCAACTGCACTTTCATTTCTCTTCGGCCAATATCTCAGAGTGGACAACTGGATCGTGTGGTAAGTGTACATCTAACTTTTTCCCCCTCTCGTTTGCTTTTAATCTCCACCGGAGGATATTTTTCCATTGACGTTTAGAGAAAGTGGAAAAGAGAGAATGACAGAAACATATCGATGTGAGAGAAACACATGGATTGGTTGCCTCCAAGCAGGGCCCTGGCCAGGGAAGAGCCTGCAACCAAAGTATGTGCGTTTGGCCGGGATCAAACCGGGACCCTTCACTCTGCAGGCTGACGCTCTACCCACTGAGCCAAACCAGCGAGGGCCGTATGTCTAACTTTTAAAGAAACCGCCAAAGCATATTCCAAAATGGTTGCATGATTTTCTCTCCTCTGGATCCTCGCCAGTGTTTGGTATGGTCGGTCTTCTTAACCTTGTGGTGATGTTTCATTGCTTTTTATTTTGCATTTTCTACACAATCATGTTAAGCATTTTTTTTCCCCATGGGTATAGTCACATGATTTCTTTGAAGTGTCTTTCCAAATATTTTTTTGAAAAAGTATTATTTGTTTTGTATTATTGAGTTTTGAAAATTCTTTATATAGTCTATATACAAGTCCTTTATCAGACATACAATTTGCAAATATTCTCTCCTGGTCTATGGCTTGTCTTTTCATTCTCTTACCAATGGTTTTTAAGAAGTAGAAGTTTTCGCTTGATATCTTTCTTCTGTGCCTCATGCTTTTGGTATCATACCTAAGAAACCTTTGTCACCAAGGTGTGTTCTTTTAAAAGTTCTATAGTAAAGTAAAGCAATTACATGGAGGAGGGACAGTCTCTCTGGTTCTAACGCCACCGTGGGCTTGTGAGTTACTTTTGAGTTAATTTTTGTATGTGGCACAAGGTAGGAACTGAAATTCATCTATTTTGTCTATGAATATCCAATTGCTCCAGTACCATTTATTGAAAGATGTTCCTCTCTTCACTGAATGGCCTTTGCAGATTTGTTGAAAGTCATTTTCCATAT